TTTTTTTTTTTTTTTTTTTTTTGTCCTTGCCTGATTTCTGTACGTAAAAGTCAGGAGATGTGTGTTCATATGCCTTGATATCATTTCTGGGAAAAATCATAGAATCATAGGAAGCTAGGGTTGGGAGGGACCTCAGGAGGTCAGCTAGTTCAACCCGCTGCTCAAAGCAAGACCATCCCCACCTAGACCATCCCAGCCACAATCCAGATGCAAAAACCAAAGCTTGTGTGTACAGACACTTAAAAACAGCAGTGTCGCAAGTAATTGTTTTAGGGTTGCCTGCAATTCATAGCAGATAAAATTTATTTTTTCTACTACTTTGTTTCTGTTTCTGATAGATTCTCTTGGTCATTTTTATTATTAATAATGATTTTGGCACTAAATTATTGTAGAAACATCTGAAACCGAAATTACAACTACAGAAATAATTAAGCGGAGAGATGTTGGCCCATATGGAATTCGTTCAGAGTACTGTATCAGAAAAATAATTTGCCCTATTGGTGTACCAGAAGCTCCAAAAGGTACGTTTGTAAATCTTTGCTTACTATATTTTTTTCAGAAACAGCCACAGTCTGTTGTCTTAATCCAGGCCATCAAAAGGAAGGCTAGTATTCCATAGCGTGATATGAAGTGTTCACTTTGTCTGATTGTGCTGAAACAAATGAATCTAGATTTTTGTTAAATTTGTTATTGAAAGGTAAAAGATGTATAAGTAAGACTTTATTATAAGCAGGACATACTAACTTTATTAAAAAGCATAACAATTTTGAACTCCACTCCATATCTAATGCACCATATGATATAAGGTATTTAACTTTGAATCAAGGATGGAAAAACGCGTGCAAGCGTATTTTTATCTATATATCTACTTTCCTTGGATTTTCAATACCTGTATGTTTTCATTCAACACAAAACAAACGTGCCCATTCAGATCTTTATCACTGTAGACATAAGCATAGTTTCACCTTGATTCTATAAAATGTAATAGTCTTGCAAAGTCCCCTTTCCTGTTAGTTTAAAATAGCTCCTAGACTTTTCTTGCTTATTATAGACGCCTTGTCTTTAGTGATATTTCAAAGAACTTTGCTAAATAGTTAAGGATACGTTTTTCAAAAGTTTTCAGCTGCCTGGAGTCAGTGGGAGTTCCGCCGCTTAGAACATCTTACCTTAATTAGCTTCTGTTTGTAAGAGCCTGCAATTTTTTAAAAAAAGGCAATACATCCTAATTTTTCATTTGCACTTTATTTCATGGTTGAGCTTAATATGTGGGGGGTTTTTGCCTTCTTTTCCTAAAGAAACTCCAACACCTCAGAGGAAGGGCCTTCGATCAAGTGCACTAAGGCCAAAGAGGCCAGAAACACCAAAGCAAACAGGCCCTGTTATAATTGAAACGTGGGTAGCAGAGGAAGAATTGGAATTATGGGAAATCAGGGCATTTGCTGAAAGGTAAACTAAAAGAAATGAAGGATTGCGATTTGTGTGCAGTATGAATTATGAGATGAATGTGTTTTGTTTCTTGGTAGCTGCCTTGAACTTACTATTTTCTGTGTCCTTTTGTAAAGGATCCGTGAACTAAAAGTTGCAAAAGCGAAGTATTTCTGGTGGCAGAAATTAAAGTATTTTGTAGGTTGATAAATTTGCCTGAATCAGTTTTATGTTAATGTAGCATGTAACAACTAGGCAAACTGCCTCTGACTGATTTAGGAAGCAGCAAATGTTGTGTGCTAAGAGAACCACATTAGTAACTGAAACTGTAGATGTGTTCTGTCATTCTGTGGTTTGAATACAGTGTGTGAACGTCCATTGAACAAAGTGGCCAAGTATATGCCCATGAAAGGAGCATGTGGAAGAAGAGTTAACAGCACCTAGATTCTATTAGAATGTATCCTGCTTTGAACTGTTGGTGAACGGTGATTGCTCTAGCTTCAAAATTGATAGACCCGATCTTGATTAATAATTTCTTTGCAAGGTATTCTAGTCATTCACTTCAGAATATTTCAAAGAGCTCACCCTAATTAGTCAACCTGGCTAAAATGAAAGCCCATAGGGGTTTTATTTTGTGTGCATGCAATAGTAATTTTTTCTCTTTGCGTATCTCCTGGCAGGGTGGAGAAAGAAAAGGCACAGGCAGTTGAACAGCAGGCTAAGGTTAGTGAACAGAAGAAGGCCGAGGAATTCAAGGCCCAAATGGAGGCTCAGCTAAAACAACAACGATTGGCTGCCCAGCAGGTGGGGGAGCCATTAGTAGTCCCACCTGTCAACAAGTTTGCATTGTTAGTCTGCATACATTCAAATACAGGGAATCGTGTCCCTGTTTCATACAGTTTTTCAAGTATAATTATGATTGTTTTCTGGTCTCCATGTGAACTCAACCTTCTGAAAAGACCTCATTGACATATTAAATCTTAACACTTGCTATGTTTAGTACATTCAGTATTCTTATGTAACCCTCTACATCATAACTTGTTTATAATTGCCTTCCTATTTCCTATACCAAATGTTAGATAATCTCCAAAAAGATGTTTTCCTTCCCTTCTGAAAGAAGGGTATGAAATAGTAGCTGCCAGGAGAGACCTGTCTGATGGAAAATAACTGTAGCTCACAACTGACTGTAATGGATTTGACTTTATTCCCATGATAAAATGGAGCAAAAGCTGGGCGTTTGTTTTGTGGAGGCTTAAGTCTTAACCTACTAATTACAAAACTTAGAATTCCAGCATCTGGTCAAATGTTCATATTTTGCTTCCTTAATATATTAGAGAGAACTGTCCAACTCTTCTAGATTCACTTTTCCTTTTTGTCTTCCCTACCCACAGTGCACTTCTCATTGTTAGTGTTTAATATCATAGTTACACTTTTTAGAATACTCTAAGCACAAAACAGAATACCAGTCACTTAGTCAATCTGTAAACATTTGTTACTTTGTTTTCTAATAGTCTGTGCCATTGGTGGTTTTTCAGTTATAGGTAACAAGAAAAAGAAAAAATGCTGAAATGTGGACAGTTTTACCCATTTTGGGTGCAGTCTTGTCAGGATTCAAATAGCTAAATGCTTAGCATGAAAAATCTCTGCAAAATGTTGAAAAAGTGACAGTGTAGTTGGCATTATTAAGTTAATTATTTCTCTCTCAAATAAAAAGCAATGAGAACTGTCACAGGGACAGAAGGCCTACCACTTGTTAAGGTTGTTGAACCTGGTGGGCTAAAAATTGGCTTACAATCAGAAGAACATGTTAGATCTTGGTATTTTGATTAAGCTTCATCAAGATAAATTAGAATGGTAATTTCTTGGCTTTCTTATATTTTGCTGCCACTGGCAAGATACAGCTGCCATTAAACTTAGGGATGCCAGTAGTAATTAAAAATTGAGCCTTGTAGTAGTAGGTTTGCATCTCTCTGATTGCACATGCGTGTGTCCATTATGAAAGTAGGCATTTCAAAGACTTGTGTGTTGAGAAATCTTTTTTACCTTTTAGAAGTTTCAGATTACTCATCTGAGAATACTGAATTTAATTTTATTTTAAATAAACATGCTGAATTGTGTTGTAAAATGCTACAAAGGTAATATTTTGTGCTGTTATATCACAATGGAAATCATTGATCTACAAACAGGGAAGTACTTGGGCAAATTCAATACTACATTTGTACATTAGTAATAGTAGTTTGCTAGCAATCTGTAATATTTTCTACTTCAATAACCTCTAATTTAGTTTCTAGAAACTTCTAGCCACCCTCATCTTTACGTAGGGAAAAAAAAAAGCTTTTCTTTTTTGCTTTTCTTGCAGAATGTGCTAATTTTAAATGTACTTCTATTGAGTTTTTCTTTTAACTTATGTAGAAACGACTGGAGCAACAAAAGCAATTACCCACAGGAGGTGCAGCCACTACAGTCACTACAGCTAGCAGCACTGCAACCGCTGTCTCCACTCCACAGAAGGTTATGGTAGGCCCATTAACAGGCCCAGTTCCCACTGGAACCAAAGTTGTGCTTACTACTAAAGTGGGTTCTCCAGCTACAGTAACATTCCAGCAGAGCAAAAACTTCCACCAGACTTTTGCTACTTGGGTTAAGCAAGGCCAGTCTTCATCAGGTAAATTATTTGCTTTTCTTTCGTTCAGAGACTGCTCATACTCCGAATGGCTAGAAAATGTTTGTTGGTTTGTTTGTTTCTGACCTGTGCCAATGTTCGCATTAACTTACAATGAAAAGTTCTCTGTATGAATTCAGTGTTATAGTGAACCTTTAAACAAATATGGGAGTAAAATGATGTGGCATATTCAAAAGTGGCTCTATAATAATTCAGTAGCTTTTTCTTTAAGAAATAATCATATTCACTACTAAAAACAATTATTTGATTTGAAACTTAACTGTTTCATGTACTTTAATAGCTACCAGCACTCCTGCCACATCAGCCACAACCATTGCCAGCACAGGACAGACGTTCCAGATCTCAGGCAGTCCAGTAACTATGGCAGGCAAAGTGATAACAAAGCTTCCACTTCCTGCAAATAGCAAGATTGTTGCTGTCAATGTGCCATCAACTCAAGGAGGTAGGGGAAGAAAATAGACTTGGCATGCATCTTCCAACTTGCTAAATTGATATGGCATTGACATTTTTTTGATGTAAAATAAACCGTTACTTTTCTGAATTAAATGGGGGGATAAGTTTCTGGAGTGTTTCCTTTGCTCTCCCTCAAAATGATCAGAGTTGTTTTTTTAGGGACAAAAACATAGGTTTCTTCCTATAAATTCCATTTAGAAGCTCTGATTTCTTTTTTTTTTAAAAGAACCTAAATCAGAAGGTCTTTCAAGAACCTAATTCTAAACCAGACATCGAAAAAGCATTCATCAAAATTTTGCAAAACAGTTGTAACAGCATTGTTGTAACTAGCAATTTAATAACTAATTGTCGTGAGGGTCCTCGGTATGACCATAAACTGCATCCAACTGGAAGGCCTGGTGGCAACGTGGTGGGGCTATCGTGGCAGGGAGCTCCTATAAAATGCTACAACTTTGCAACCTCCAGAGTAAGGTGAGTATAGGGTGCCTCACCCCCAGCCCCTGCTGCCTTGTTGGGTACTCCTTGGTTGGAGAGAGGCTGGGGACATCACCCTGACAGAAGTGCTTCCTCACTGAGGCATTAGACCATCAGCAGCAGTTCTCATCTGTTACTCTCTGGCAGAAGCTACAACCATTCAGGCACAGAATATCTGGACTCAATCTGGCCTTTGGATTCTATCTCAGTGATCTAAAGGAGGGATGGTAGGTCTTGGGCAGCCTCTGCTCCTTCATACTGTTGCCTAGGTGTATGCATCAAAGGTCTTGATGACTAGACCTCTTAGGCATACACCATGATCCAGAGGATTGACAGTTGCCTACTAATGATTGTAAATAGTTGTACCTCAAAAACCTACTGTTCTCAGTTTTAGTGATGGGCTCAGTAGTGTTGGTTCCCTTTTATTCCTTTTCCTTGGGCAAGAGGACTTAGTATTTTGAGATGATAGGTTTCATATCCCTTATTAAACATACCTGAGCCTTTGTTCATTTTGCTTCATCTATGAGGAAACTGCTAGCTTTGAGTAGATCTTTCCTGTGAACACAGAGTGCTCTTACCCATGATCTGCAATTCAGACAGACAGAGAACTGGTCTTACAGGCTATTTATATGCAGGAAAAACTAGAATAATGTCTAATATTTGTGTAAGAACAACATTTGTGGCACCATATTGCAAAGTAGCCTCTCTGTAAAGGTCAGTGTTGGAGAGTCATGCCTCTGAAATTTTCTTTCTTCAAATGTTTAAAGTACTTGTCAGTGCCCTGACAAGATAAAGGGATTTGTATTTCCCAAAAGTGGTGAAGCTTCTTCCTTGTAGAACATGAAATTTTTGCCAAGAGATTTGTGGGCCTGTCTGTCAAGGAGTGTTCTAAAAACTAGGAGGTTTACTGAATTTGAGCATTAGCATATTATTGTGACCGACAGCTCTTGTATTAATGGATTCTTACCTTTTTCTTTTATTAGGTATGGTTCAAGTTCAGCAAAAGGTGTTGGGTATCATTCCATCAACTACAGGTGCAAATCAGCAAACATTTACTTCATTCCAGCCAAGGACAGCAACTGTAACTATTCGGCCAAATACTACAGGGACAGTAGGAACAACAACAACTTCACAAGTAATGTCTTTCTGTTTCTTACAAAGGCTATTGTATGAATACATTGCATCTTACGAGAGCATATCTGCAAACAAAATTATCTTCTATATATTTTTAATCCAAGGGATGAATATATCAGTTTCTTTCTCTTTTGAGAACTATTTCTCATTTTTTGTATGATCATAGATGCTTATGGCATTGAAGATTTCTGGGCTGTGTATTGGAAACTAAACTGGATTAGGTAAAAGCTGTGATAGTTATACAACATATTGCAGGTGTGATAGAATGTTGGGATATTAAAATAGGCTTTTAATGAGGTAAATGAACTCTTTAATTTTTTTTCATATAAACATTTAAGTTGTATACACCAGTGGTGTGGAACTTGCCTTGTGCCCTGGGCTAAATCCAAACCATGGGGCTCCTTGTGAGCCAGATCCAGCCCAGGGCACACAGTGGCAGGTCCAGCTCTGGCATGGGGGACACAGCACAGCTTCAGCTCCTACTCCCAGCTCAGCTCTGGCACAGAGCACACAGTGGTGGGACCAGCAGCCAAGGAGCTGGCACCATGGCAGAGGTAATGAGCAACAAGCAGCTGGAGAACAGCTGAGGTTGTATCAGCTCTCACTTGCCTCTCACCATGTCCACCAGAGCCCAAGAGTTCCAGATTCTCAGCAGAGCATGTCTCCCAACTTCCAGTGACTCGCCAGTAGTCCAGCAAGCCAGACAGAATGGCTCTGCAGGCCAGATCTGGCCTACAGGCTGTATATTTGACACCCTGATGTGCACAATATATGTTTAATGCAGCCTGAAAAGGGCACAATTTTTTTACACTATGGTAATAACTAACCCTGGGACATGGTGGAATTTGTATTGCCTTAAATCTTAAAATCAAGACAGGATATCTTTCCAAAAGAGACACTATCTGTAATAGAGGTTACATGTTTAAAGTAGAAACAATGGAGTCATGTTTTCTGACCTATGCTATGCTCGGTCAGACCAGACTGTCATATTGGTGCCTTCTGGTCTTGATATCTATTCATCTGACTCCTGAATTCAGTATCCCCTTGCTGGTTGCTGATCTAAAGAGGAGGCTTAACTTGTATTCAGGTTTCACCAATCTGCCAGCCTTTTTCAAAAACAATACCAACACATCTGGAAGGAGCTCTTTGTAGGGATTTTTTATTTGCTTTTTAAAATTTCAGGCTGGTCTCTGCAGTAAGACCTCATGGGAAGTAATTTTAATGGGGAAACTCAACACACATCTTCAGAGCATAGAGTCCTGTTAGGAAGAGAGTAATTATGGCAGAGTTTTTTGGTGAGCTTTAAGGCATGCAAGAAGTAAATGGTTAAATGTACCTTTTTATTCTTACACTTCTCATTATTTTAAGGAATGTAAGGTTTAGCGGGCAAGTTTTTTTTTTTTTTTAAACACTTGAATAAATGTTCTCCATTTGCTGCCTCTAGGTAATGCCAGGGACACCACTCCGTCCTGGTATGACAGTAATAAGGGCACCACTTCAGCAGTCAACATTAGGGAAGACCATCATTCGAACACCACTAGTGGTGCAGCAAGGTATTCTTCCAGCCAGTAGGTTAATTTTAATATTAAAACTTCCAGTGTGTGAAACCCATGGTTTGTTCCTCCATAAACATTTTCTATCATTCACCCCAATTCCAAAATTTCTCCCTATTTAGAACTTGGTATTTGGCAGGTACTGTTTAGGTAGGGATGTTTTTTAAACAGCTTGAGATCAATTATCGATTTTATTGGTGTTACTGAGTGAAATCCTTACTGACGTGTTTAATAGCTCAAATCTTTCATCTGAGAGGATACAAAGAATGGGGTTTCAGCATCTGATTTTATTAAAATACTCAATGTTTAAAATTAAGTAGTTAAAATACAAAATTATGACAGCCACTTGGATAAGAAGGTTTGACTTAATTACTCCTTGAAAAAACATCACATCAAACGTTTTTCAGATTCATATCTTTTAGTCAGTTTCACAGGGAAGCGAGTTATGGTAGATGTTCCCTTGCAAACTGGAATGCCTGCTTGGCTTGTTTCATACCACACTATTACAAGAAGTTGAGGTTTAGTGTGCTATAATAAAAAAAAAAAAAAA